AAACGTAATAAGTTATGAAAAAAAATTAATAATGTAACACTATTCTTCGAATGTCTATGTGTTTTACTAAAAATGAGAACAAAAATAATTATGGTATAGACATAATGTGTTAAACTATATTTTTTCTAGTAAAGAAACTCACTAGAATATCCAGTCTTCCATAGGTGTCAATTGTTGACTTGATAATCCGATCAATATCGGATTCTATGGTTACATCACCGACGATACACAAAGGTTAAACTACAAAAGAAAGTGAACCTTTTGAGTTAAAAAACAGAAATAAACATACTCCAACATTTAGGTTTAGAAAAGTAACACAAGAGCTGTGTTCTGAAGCTCCTACAAAATATATAACCAAATTTAGAAAGATGCACAAAAGATGGCTGGTATTGAGTCATAGAAGTATGTCGTCACATTGGACAGAGACTGTAACAAAACTCAAGTGATAATTGCATAAAGTATATGGGGTTTAGTTATGGAAGACGGTTCCTCACTACCCCATGAAAAGAAACGCCCTGTGTATATAATTAGAAAAGTGAAACACCAAGTCGAACGTAAATACATAAAAAAAGGTAACCAGACTAAGTAGAAATAGCTTATTTTAAAATGGTACTAGTTTCGTTTCTTTACTGGGAGTGTAAAGCCTTTCTTTTTCCTGTTTATATGTGGGTCTACCAGATTTAAACTTTGACCACAAACATGTGTTATATTGTTTACAATTCTAAGAGGGGTTCCTACTTTACCTACAAAGTATCAAGATGTTACTGGGTTTCCTCCTATGATAAGTTGGTTAAATTTATCCACTACCTCTGTTACACAAATTGGAAATCGTTCTAGAATAGCCAGTGTTTTACCACTGGACCTAAGCCTTCTCTTGCTTTAACGATATAGTTAAATACTAAAAAAAACCCTTTCTTTGAAGAGATAAAACACTTTTCACACTTTAATAATTCTGTGATATAATCTTCCTTAGAATTCACCTGGTCTTGTCAATTACCACTCTTTAATTGAAATGCCACAAAAGAATAGGAAGTTTGAACCTTGATAGTTACAGATCATGGATATAAAATAACTCCCTGTACCCACTAAAAGTAAGAGGTAGGGAGAAAATAGAAATTATCTCAGGCTTAGAGTTATAATCTTAACTTCTAATGTTGATTGACTTTGTTACCAGGCCACACTTGCTATGACGATCTATTTTGTGTAAAATATTAACTGTATCACAAAATATTATACATTTGGGTTTCTAGTGCTTTGCCAACTGGTGTCGTTAAAGTTTCGTTGGAACGAAGTTAAGGAAAAATCAATTAACAAACGGAGACGTAACAATATGTATATATATTCCTTATTTTTCTACATACCTAATAGATGTAAACTTCCTTACCGAACATTGGTTTTCCACACTAAATCTAGTGTCTCCAAAGAACCTTTTTGAGCAGAGTCCAATGCTCCCGTGCCAGCATTGTTAACCTGAAGACAAACAACATTGTTATTGTTCCTGCTTTCCTCTGACATTCCTATTAATTTGTCTTCTTTGGATTCAAAATAAAAAAGAGGTAATGTAATGTGTGTGTAGATAGTGAGTAATTGATCTGCGGTCAGAGTATTATTGACGTTCGTTGCTATAGCGTTTGTTTAGCGCGATTGTTGAAGTTCAGTGTATCGGTTAAGTTATATTCGGAAAGAATAAACCAGTTTTATTAAGTAAAGACTTTTGTTGCGTCAGCAGTCACATGACTACAGTGACGCAACGGTTCTAGAATTATCATGTACTTTGGCGAATGCTCTAGTATTTACTAGTAGGGTAGGCTGGTATATATATAAGATGGGGAAAACGTGACGCGGCTATTTTACAACGATCCTGGAAAGCTTCCATACGTTCTCCATTAAGAAAATTTGTAGATAATTACTAGAATCTCATCTTTAAATGTATTTCATTTATGAATTATTTCTATATTACTTGATATTTCATGTCCACTAATTCTACATTTTACTTTAAGACGATTAACTAATGATTTATATTGTAACGTACACATTGCTTTATTTTAAAGGAAATAATATTCCAACATATTAATTGTAACAGAATTTGTTCACAATAAACTAAAGGTTGAAACTTCCAGAAGCTAGCCTTACAATATTTTCCTTACCAATATATCTAAGGTGAAGGTGCGCAAAACGACAATTTTTGTTGATATACACACATGTTTCGTCTGCTAGCCGAACCCATAACTTTATATACCTATTTAGTTAAAGATCGTTAACTAAACATGTACTGATACACTCAGATATTTAACCAAAAGAATTAAAATATATTGTGTAAAAAGTAAACAGTAGGCTTAGCTTATAAAACAAACTTATGCAGTCTGCCATAAAATAGACTACGTGAAAAGAGTAAGGCTTAAATTATAATACATATTGTGTATAATGATATTAAAGTCAAGTCAGAGTAATTGGTACAGCGCTTGCATGAGGTGGAAGATAGGTTGAGCCTGGAAATTATATTATTAGAATAGACAGGTCTATTTAGTTATAGATTATTATTTATACACCTACTGATACATCATATATTTAATCTCGCACACAAAAGAAAGGTATGCAGAATTAGAATAATATTTTATCTCCTCCTCTGTCAGTTATGTCATTCACCTGTACCCCTGGGTAGCATAATCTGATTATTTTCTCCCTATTTACCCCACAGACTATTCTATCCATATGCCTTGTCAAAGTATCACCTATAACCTCCTCATCATCCACATCCTTCTTTGACACTTTTGTTTTTCTTCCCTTCAATAGTTCTTCATCTGCAGAAACCAAGGTCTGAAATTTGTTGGTCAACAAAATCGGCTCATTATAACTAAATTCACCACTTTTTACTGTAATATTACTCTTTCTAACTTCCTGAAAGTCACTGTTAGCTGATGTATCCCTTGCATCTGAAATATTATGAGATGGCTGGGTTATTAAATTCTGCTTTTTCTTCACTTTTTACTAGTGAAGACTTAGGCAGTATTCCACATCTTGAACAGTTGATAGATGGACAAGATTACTGCATTAATTCTGAGCTGGTTAAGAAAAATTGGGAATTTAAAAAATGATAAGGCTCCTGAGCCAGATAATATTTCCCCAAGAGTTTTGAAGGAGGTTAAAGATTGGATATGTGAGCCACTTACCACTATTTTTGTCAGTCCTTGAAAAGTGGGTAAGTACCAGAGGATTGGAAGTTAGCTAAAGTAACTCCTCTTTTGAAGGGAGGATATACAATTTTCCCCTTAATTATAGATCCATTAGTCTTACATTAGTTATGGGAAAGTTTTGGAAGTATGTTAAAAAGATGCTTTGTAAAGTCCTTTAACAAAGTTTAGAATTTTATTGGGTAGTCAAAATGGTGTCACTAAGAGAAAATCTTCCCTTATAGAACTTTTGACATTGTTTGAAAAGGTTACTGCTAATGCAGATGAGGGTAAGGGTGTATCTGAATATCAAAAAGCTTTTGACAAGGTGCCACATAAAAGGCTTGTAAAAATTATCTCTACAGGTGTGGGGGATAAGTTAACAAATTTGATAGAAGAGTGGCTGGATGGAAGAAAGCAGAGGGTTGTTACAAATGGAGTTCAGCCAAACTGGATTAATGTCATAAGTGGGATACCTCGGGGCTCAGTTTTAGGACCATTGCTCTTTTTGATTTACATCAGTGATATAGATGGAGGAATAGTCAATAAATTACTTACATTTGCAGATGATATTGAGGTCTTTGGTGTTACTAGCTGTGAAGAGGATGCTGCTGATTTACAAAAGGATTTAGATCATTTAGTGAGTTGGGCAAATAAATGGCAGATTGTTTTTAATTTTAACAATTGCAAGATATTACATATGGTTTATCATAATTTTAACTATAAGTATAATTTGGATGGGAACAATCTTAACAGTGGAAAGAGATCTTGGTGTAATAGTCAACCAGTCTCTAAAGCCACCCAAGTAGTATGTTGTCGCCAGTGGTAGGGCAAATAGGATTTTAGGTTGTATCTACAGAAATATTGAATATAAGGCTAAAGAGGTTATAATTTCATTGAACGGGTCACTGGTAAGGCTACGTTTGGAATATTGTGTTCAGTCTTGGACTCCTTATCTTTGTAAGAACATCGACTTGTTGGAAAAGGTTGAGAAAAGGGTTACAAGAATGGTGCATGAGATGAAGGGGTTGTCATACAAGGAGAGGCTGAAATCTCTCAAATTATTTTTTCTTGAAAAAAAGAAGAGTTAGAGGGATCTGATTGGGGTATTAAATATTGTAAAGGGAATAAATAGAGTTGATGCATCATCTTTTTTTTCATATTTAACAGTGAGAAGAGTAGGACTTGGGGACAGAAATATAAATTTTGGCAAGGTAGGAGTCATCTTAAGCTAAAACAGTTTCATTTTTCTAACAGGGTGGTTCGCCTTTGGAATGGGTTGCCTTCAAATGTTGTAGTGGCAGTAAATTAAAGTGAGCTTAAGAAAAAGTTTGATAACTATATGAATGATAAGGGCTGGCTTTAAAATAGGTTTAAATTATTTCAATTTAGTTAAGAGGATGGAACATTATAAAGTAAACTACAATATTACATTTTGTTTGTAATATATTTCATACATCAAAGTCATAACAATATATTCAGTTTACATTAAAGCTAATTCAACATAAAATTACATATTTATTTAAATGTGGATGTTTTTTGTTGTTTTTTTTTCGAAAACCCGGGCAACACCAAGTAACGCTACTAGCTTTTTATAAATGTACTATGTGTGTGTAAATTATTTTCCTTATGTTTTATATATAACTCCCATGTGTATCAGTATTTTCTTTATTTCACTATAGATCGTATATATACATAGTCCTCTCTTTATTTTCTATGTATCTATTATATTTGGCAATAAATATTCTTTGGAGAAATCCGACAGATTGTCGATTTGTCTTGGTAGTGGCGTCATCTATTGCTATAATAGTTAGTTTTAAAGATGTTTAATTATTTTTCTTTTATGTTTTCAAAGAGCTGTCTATCACTTGACGATGCTAGCTGTTCCTCACCTGATTGAAAGTAAAGGCTCCATTGTCAACGTTTCGAGCGTTCTCAGCAAAAGGGGAGTAAGTACTCTAACATTGAAGAGCCAAGTGAAAAATTGTACCTTTTAATTTAGTTAAAACGTGTTAAGGAGTGGTATTTTTTGTTATAAATTTTCCGTGTGTAATTTATTTCGTTTCTCCTCTTATTGTCACGTTGATTTTTATCCTATAATTTACTTCATCCCCTTTCGATCGTGGTGTTATTCATCATGAGTTTTTAGTCATAAGATAATTTGGAACACTCACTGTTAGCGATACTTTCGGTTATAATCTTATAAGAGAATTAGAGTAGTTAAAACTTAACTCAAAGCTTTAGTCAGATGTATTTAATTCTATTGAAGTCTATGGAAACGAAAGATGACATTATTTTCTCTGACTATGACAATAAGCATAATTGTCATAGTGGATCTAATTTATAAGAAATATATTTCGTCGAATTTTTCTAGGGTGCAACATTACTTTCCTATGCCATGTCTAAAGGCGCTATAGATCAGTTTACCAGAAGTGTGGCATTAGGTGAGTTTATTAATAAATGTACGAAATCTTGAGAACCAAAAATGTTTTCATATTTAAAAAACTAAGCTGGGACTGTTTATTATTATTATGAGTTATTTTTGAAGCAAGGTTTTGTTTATTGGTTCAATTTCATCATGAGTTATAGATTTCTTTGTTATATACAGTACCACTAAACGTAAACGAAAAAAATATATATATTTATCACGCGTTGAATTGTCTTTTTCCAGATCTTGCTCCCAAACAAGTCAGAGTGAATTCAGTAAAGTAAGTGTGTTTTTATTTGTGTATAAACTATATTTATAAAAGCCTTTCGGATACATATTAATTTGTAATTTGTTTGATTTAAAATTGGGCGTAGTTTAGCGCTTATCATACACGGACTGTGAATCTGAGGTACAGGTGGCGAATATTTTGTTACAGTAGCCTATTCTGTCACATATTTTATATAAATTGTGAACCGTGGTGTCTGTCCCAGCGTTCGTATGTCTCAATATTCTCTTTTGAAATGGCGGGAGAACGACAGGATAAAACCCTACAAGGAGTTTAATTCCAGCTCCACCATCAGGAGAGGAAATATGTAGATTGAGACAGGATAAAACCCTACAAGGAGTTTAATTCCAGCTCCACCATCAGGAGAGGAAATATGTAGATTGAGACAGGATAAAACCCTGTAGGGAGTTTAACTCCAGTTACACCATTAGAACATTCTAAATGTAGGTTGAGACAGGACAAAACACCACAGTAAGTTTAACTTGTTAACACTAAATTATAGGTTTATATAACCACGTAAGAAATCATTTTTAGGATCTTTTCTGGATTTCAGGTTTTGTATGTTTTGACAGCAACTGTTAACGTCATGAATATAAACAACAAATAACTACACATCAAACGGAATAATCAGCAACTAATGTTTTATTTTCTGTAAAAAAATTATTACTGCGGAAACAAATCAGACAACTTAGCAAGAGACGATTCTAGCGCCATCTATCACCAAGGTTTCTCCAGTTATAAACGAAGCCTCGTCAGAAGCGAGAAAAGCGATTGCACTGGCGACCTCTTGTGGTTGTCCTCCTCGACCAAATGGCTGTGTTTCGGCTGCTTTTTTCATCACCTATAATATAAACGTTTAAAGAAAATTAGTTATTCTTAAGTTAGGCTTAAAGGTTAAAGTAAATAAAAAAAATATTTATATCACATGTAATACATAGACATTCATTTATATATTTGGTGAATAAACTGGATTACAGAAAATATTTGAGTACTGTTATTACACTACGTAACAAATATAAATATTATAATTAATTATGTCTTATTATTTTTCTGATATGTTGAACTGGACAAGTAAATATTATACGCTTTACGAAATCGTTAAAACTTATCCGTAATAAAATGGCGTATTGACCACAGTATATTGCCTCCTGAATATGTTATTGAAAAAAGTAAACACTTGAGCATTAAAAGATGAATTTTAAAACAGCACAACTTCGTTCCTTGTCGTAAGTACGCCTCCGCAATCGTCGGGTGACTCAAAATGTCTGAAAAACTTAAGAGTTAAGGACATAAATGTAAGGGAGTCAATTACTTTTAATGTGGAGGGGGGGGCATTTTTTCTAGTTACACCACTGAGCTCATCGTGCCAATCAGTAGCACAGCGGCATGTCTGCGGAATTATACCGCTAAAAAGCGGGTTTCGATACTGTGGTGGGCAGAGAACAGATACCTTATTGTGTAGCTTTGCACTTAACAACAAACAAACCTCGTCGTTAAAAATTGATCACGATTGTGTCATATAGTTTATGTTTGCCATCATATTTCATCTTCCTTACACTAAAAGTACTTACACTAGGACCGAACAAGGTCAGAAAACGTCTGATGCCATCCTTAAGTTAAGTAATGACTCATCCTTATTGAAAAGATGTTGTATCGTGCAAGTAAAATCAACAACAACCAGAAACTCCAACACATTTTGATAACTACACCGAGATAATTTAGTCGATTATGAAGTGCCGCGTGTTTATCATAACCCTAGACATACCGGCACGGTCAATATTTCTTTTAAACAGAAATAACATCAATACTGTAATGAATGCCACTAATTTATGTTGGGTTACTCTATACATGTTACTTATAAAATAAGTGATTCACCCGTTTTCTCTTCATTTATTAACACTGAATGTTGTAACAGGGGAAATAACATGATGTAATTAGTGAAGTCAGGCCGTGATATACAGTATAAAAACAAGCTGGTAAGTAAAAGGTTAAATTATAACATTATATTATATAATCAACCGTCAGAGACCAATTATATCTTTGGTTTTAATTAACACAATGATCTGTATTTTCTATGCATCCTCTGACTTTTGAAACTTTAATTAATTAAATCATATTTTAGTTATAATAAAACAAATTGATACACTTTACACGTACTTCCTTTACGTTTGCTCCAACTGTTGAGAAGATATTTGTTTCTATAGTTCCAGGACTGTAAAATATAAATAAGAACATTAATATGTTAAATATTGTTTACAAAATTTAAATTGTGATTTATAAATGCGGTAAAAGATAAATGTGTAGTCTTGTGTGTGGCCGCGAACCATAAAACCTCAGATCAGTTATGGCAAGTATAAGAGGCTTGGGAAGGTTTAGCTTCCCCAAATAGGTGAAAAAAAGATATATCTTTCCTGACTGCCCAAAGAGCACCTGTTGTGGATAAACAAATCGCCTCCCAAAATACAATGTCCCTTATAGAGCATAATTTTCTACAACTCAAGATATTATCAACCACAAGCAAAAATACCTGTTCCCAGTCATGGCAAAAGTTTATGTTAATCTATCAGATTAAATTATTTCATGGACTTTTAAAAGGTTGATTGCGTTGCACTCGTGGTTTCACTGAGAGCCAAAGCTCTTAGCTACTTATACCACCCAACACGAAAAGTAATTGTTCAAGATTTCATTCATGTTAAGAGTCACTCAACAATAACATACGGTAAACCAACATTAAAGTTACGTCACATTTTCCAATGGAAATGATAGTGTGATTAATTCTTAACAATTTAGTGTAGAATATCTTGCTCGTGAAGTAGAATTTGGCATCAACATTATTCATGCCATTCAACCTACATATTTCCTGTCCTGAAGGTGGAGCTGGAGTTAAACTCCCTAAGACTTTATCCTGTCTCAATCTACATATTTCCTCTCCTGATGGTGGAGCTGGAATTAAACTCCTTGTAGGGTTTTATCCTGTCTT